AGGTCAGCCTGCGGTGCCAAAGGCACCAGCTCGCACTTGGAAGGTTCAAGTTGCAGACCGGCCGCTGCGGCTTCTTGTTGAAGGACCCTGAAGGCAGCAGCCACTGCGTCGGCTCGGCCGGCGAGCACTGCATCATCTAGGTACGAAAAACAAAGCTCCACGGGGCACTGCGCAGTCTTCCGCAACGCTGGCTGCAAGGCCGCAGAAAACAACAAGGGCCCAAGGGGGTCACCTTGTTGTATGCCCCGGGTTGACGGAATGGTGTGCTTGCCAAATCTGAGGACGGAGGCGGAGCTATAGCACCAATCCACCCAGCAGGCCAGCCCCGGGAAAGCCGCCCTGGTTTCGGAAAGCAAAGCAAAGCGGTCCACACTGTTGAACGCATTCTGGAAGTCCACTTTGAGAAGCACTTTGTCTGCTGTCCCGGCGTTGCGTTCGGCCCATTGCCGAGCGGTGTGAACAGCTGCCTCGCCCCCCAGTTTGACGCCGACTCCAACCTGCAAAGGCCAGAAGTATTGATTGGAATCATCCCGCGTTGCGTGACAGAGCACTTTGCCGACCAGGCGCCAAATGGTTTCACCGACCGCGATGGGCCGCACGCCGCCGTTTTTCTTAGGGAGGGCGTGGAGCCGGGCCCCGCCCAAGTAAGGCGCCACAACTGCGGGAGCTTCCCCTTTGGCAAGCAGTTGGCATAGGCCAACCAAGTGGGCGGTGACCTCGTCCCCGTGGGCTGTGGCCAATGTTTCCTTGATGTGGTCGGCTCGGAGCCCGGAAGGTCCAGGAGCAGAGGCTCGAGGGAACGTCTTCAAGGCACCAATGACAGCTTCACTCGAGAGTTCTGGCACCGCAGCTGGCCGGGCAGGGCCAAGCCGACTGACGTCAGGCAGTGCGCTCTGAGGGTGATGGGCGGACAGCTGCTCGAAGGTGGCCTGTGAAGGAGGTAGCGGAGCGGGCTCAGTCAAGGCCGCACATGCACGTGATAACTCCCCCTCAGCCGCCAGAGCACAGCATCGAGAGTGCTGGGTAGCAGTGGTGCTGTCAGCGGTTGAGCGAGTGGCCTGGGGCCGAGCCCGAAGTTCCTCCCATAAGTCCATCTAGTTTCGGGCATGAAATGTTTCGTTTCAAAAATTTGTATGGAAAAAACAAAATGGTCAAGCAAAACGCAAAACACTGGTCCGAGGTTGTCTGCTCTGTATCACAAGCAATGTTGCCTAATTCAATCACCAGCACCTGCACCACGCAAGCAATTGTAAATCCACCCGCGCCGAAGGTGACGAACCGTTTTTTTTGTTGGCGCGCATGATGCGGAAGCAATGGCAATAGTCTTGAGTTCGTTATTGCTCTAGAATCCTATGTTTTCTTGTAATTTGTTTTAACGGACGTAAAATCGGCAAAGTTACCAAATTTGGTTTCAACATGGCCCAACATAAGCCGAACATGGGCCCAACATGGACCCAATATAGGCCCAACATAGGCCCAACATAGCCCAACATGGCCGCAAAATGGCCAGCATGCCTCAACATAGACCCAACATGGGCCCAACATAGTCCAACATGCCTCATAGGCCCAACATAGGCCCAACATAGGTGCCTGTGAGCCTTTGTGGGCCTCAATGTGCCCAAAAACCCCCAAATAGAGACAAAGTGGGCCTAATTTACCCCCAACATGCGCCTTACAAAGGCCCAACAAAATTTAGATGATCGTATTTAGCGGAACCCTGTAATTAACACTCCGACGCGGGCGGTTGTTGTCGCAAGCGATCGAAATAAATTTGCCACAAACCCGGTTGCTTGTTAAATTGTTGTGACGGAAACGTTCTTTGATTCTCTTTTGTATATTTTTGCATTCACCACTTCGTTCTCGTCGCTTTAAACTGAACAATGTGATTTCTCGATTCGCTGCACTCATCGTGCGTGCGCCCCCTGATCGAAAAGTCTATGATTCATCGCAGACAGCAAAAATGTCCTGCCTTTGCCAAAGCTGAAAATTTCGATCCATTCAGGCCTGATGCAGATGGTAATGTGGCACCAGCAAACCTGAAAAAACGTTGAAATGGGAACCGGATGATTTCATTCAATGTTGACATGGAGTCTTTCCAACAACATTTGCCTCCCCATAATTGCAGAACAGGGCACCTAGGTCATCTTCAAGACCAACGCTACATTTTCCGGTTTTGTTTGCAAAAACCGCCAGTGATGAATGAAACGAAACACGCATTGTTCTGGGCCACGGCGCGTCCTCCTTTACTTTTCTCTGAGGCGAAGGCATGCTATCCGTTGATTGAGCACGCACAAAAGCCTTGATGACATTGGTAGCCGAAGTTGCGAATATTTTGCTGACGATTTCTTTGCGATTGCCGGATCTTGGGGATAAACGATATTTTGACAAACGGGTGTGTGCCGCACGCTTAGAATAAAATTTGGTTCTTGCTAGTCTCAAAACCGCAGCGGGCAAAATTACAAACCAAATACCGCATTCGCTTGCTATAAAAAAAAATGGTTACATGAACGCAAAATGGTTGGAGGAAAACTTGGTAACCGCCAACATTCTAATTGATCGTCGTCTAGCTGGTGGCATGCTTGTGTGTTTGGCTAACCGTGATATATCAAACACATGTCAAAAAATGAGGTGGCCACGGATGTGGAGTGCACTGACGGCACATGGTGATTTGAGACACTTGGTTTTGATTGTTCCGTGTCTGTTTTTGGATACAAATTGGAAAAACCTTTCGGGGTCCAGTAACAATGATGCATTTGCAACCAACGCTGGCGCGAGACAAACGTTATTATTAAGCCCATTAACTAATCACAGCTGTTCTGCAGTGGGACACGCGTAGATGGGGAAGAAATATGTGCGACGTCATGCGACGTCGAAACATGGTATCGGTTCCATGGACATCCGTTTCGAGGCTATCGCTCCTCAAAGTCCCCTATCGCTTCTCTCGCTGGGAAGTCGCTGTGCTGAATAATGATGAAGCGTAACATACATGTTCAAGCAAGTTTCCCCGATTTTCTGTCAAACTCTGTCAATGACAGCAATAAATTATGTAGCGATTCGTTCATAGCCCTCGGTCAGCTTGGCACCATGCAGGGCACTTTCCCCCCTCCAAATGCCCAACCATTTTCAAACGCCTTTACAACGGAAATTGTTCACTCAAGTTTCGCCACTGCTGGTACGGGAACTGGACCTAAATAATGATGTCGGTGGGGCCCACCACTTGGTTTGAACGACGCACTTGGGAGCACAAGCTGCGTTTTTATTTTTCCCTAACCGTTTTGGATGTTTTCTGCCCCTCTCCTTTTCCCTTTCCTTTTCCTTCTTCCCTTTTTCCGTTTTAACACAAACACGCGCGCACACACACACACCCACACACGCCGCATACAAACGCACCTGCGCACATGGGTTCACGCGTTCAAATGACTTGAAGGTGTGCAAGAAATAATTTTTCATGTTTTCTTCCTGGTTTCGGTGTGCGGACATTGGAATGTGCAAGAGGCAGATGAGGCGATGAGTAAAGACCAGACTGCCTCCGGCACATTTTTTGGGGAACGATGCCTGAAGCTATGCAGTTCGATACCTGGAGCGCCATCCCAAATCAGGAGAAATGACAGACCTCTAGACTTCGAGCTGCATCCGGATTTTGAAGAACATGAGAGGGCGAGCAAGGGAGAGCGAAAGAAAAACAGAGAGAGATGGAGAAAGAGAGGGAGAGCGAGAGAGAGCGAGGGAAGGAAGGCAAAAGAGAGAAATAGAAACATAGAAAGAACGAGAGGGAAAAAGAGATAAAGATAGACAGAGAATGTCTTGGAAAGAGCGCGTGGGTGTGTCTCGCTGGTTGAGTCACAGCAGGTTTGTTCCAAAACCTCTGGAAGGTGCACGCGTGTTGCCACGACATTAAATTTGCAGTACGTAAGGTGGTGTCGCTTTTCAAGGCCCCCTACCGCTCCCCACAACAAATCACACATTTTAAAAATGACGGTGGCCGAATACAACATCCATACATACCATCCTTTGACCGGTGATCATATAGAAACCGAACGTGCGGGCATAAATTTCAAACATGGTTTCGCACATTTGGCCACATGTACTTGATTTGCCATTTTTGGAAGGTTGCTGTCTTTTTGGGAAGTGTGCTGCTGAGGTTATGTTGATGTAGTCTACCTGCAAGTAGTGGCCTGGTGGGGTTGGGGTTTCACATTTTGTAAGACGCATGTCTTGAAAACGGCAAAACAGCCTTGACCAAAACAAAAATCAAAATATTTGAACAGGATAATTTTCAGGCCTACAAAATCCAAACGCCTAACCCCATTTTGTTGAGACCTGCGGTTCCCGCCGTTTCTATAAAATCCAAATCATGGACATCCACCTGCAATATGTAAGTTTGAGCATGATGACCCAAATTTTATCCCAGACTTTGACAAAGTAATGCCAACATCAACAACATTATGAAATACAAATGGAAAAACAGTGCATACATCAATGCAAACAAGACAATGATGTATAAAAATATATATGTCATGATGTGTGTCCACAATATGTGGATAGCCAAGAAAAAGTATTTTGTCGCTAATTTTTTGCCAACACAGTCAGCTAAATGACGGGAATGAACCAAGCCCAAAAAAATTAACCTAGCGTTTATCATCCCAAATGGAGGGCGAGAAACACGGGGAAACAAGGAGGACACGGAACCACGAGGCGCTCAGGACGCTAAGCCAATTTTTTTTTCAGCTCGCGCACTCACGCCGGTTTTCCGGCCATGCGGGAAAGGTGGACCGGGGCATGGTCAGAGTTGACTTCAAGGAGGGTGGGGAGGTCGGGGGCTAGCCCGTCTGGGGAAGAGGCCGCGTGCGAAGGAGCGCTGTGCTGACGCAACCCGGACTGCCAGCTACTAGCAGCCCAGACGCGGAACTAAGAGGTGTATCCAGAGCAGCCAGAGAAGCAATCTACTTGCGTGATCTCATTACCTTAGACTTTGGCCAACTGTGCGGGAAGCCCCGCCTATGGACCGACAGCTCGCCGGCCACGCAGGCAGCGAAACGCATAGGACCAGGAGCCAAGTTGAGCGAGCACAGGGACAAGGAAATCAGTGGATCAATCCAATCGTCCTGTATATCCTCGCATTCATCGGCTTATTAGCCATCTATGAGAAGCTGTATCAGCTAGGAACGCTGATCACAGACGGGTTTTTCCCGCCTGAAAGCGAAAACCAACCAGAACCGGCGGAAGGAGCGGAAGTGCAACTTCAGCTGGATAATGCAACGGTGCGCCTCAACATCACCGCCTACCGAGACGGTAGACAGCTGAACATCAGCCAGACGGTGAATGCGCCAGCGGCAGCCCCGCGGCCAGGTTCCGCGGAAGCCCCGCAGCCTCAACCGGCAGAAACCCCGCGGCAGGAGGAACTAACTCCTAGTCGCATCGAGCGCTGGTCAGAGGAACAGTGGGTACAGAAAGGGGCAGAAAGCAACATGACCCTCCAGGAGCTGATCGAATGGCGCAGGCGCGAAGAAAGGCTGATTCAAGGGCAAGACCCAGACTCCAGCCAAGATGAGCCAGGTGAGTCAACTTCGCACAGTGCGGACAGCCCCGCCTCTGAGCGGGATGCACCGCCTGAGCGGGACGAACCGCCTGAGCGGGTAGCACCGCCCGAGCGGGCGGAGCCGCCGATCTCCAGTTAGGGCCCAGAGCTCTTGACGGGAGACCCCGCCACTGAGCGGGAAGCTCCGCTAGATCCCTTTGATGGGATGAGTCCAAATGAGCTCCAGCAGTGGCGAGTCCGAGAACCGATTTCTGGGGATCGGAGGCGGCAGCTCCAGTGGCGACAGCCCTTTCTTTGGCCACAGCTAGCCAGGGGAGGTATAGCTACGTCTCACCAAGAGAACCCGGCAGTGAGCCATGCCACTCTAAGTAGGGTGGCAAACTGCAAAGGGTAAAAGCTAGGAATTAGGTAGCTAGATAGCTATAGGGCAGTTCACTAGGTAGAGACGGCATGGCATGACAGCAGTTCATGACCGCAGCCCCTTTTGCACAACCGTGCAGTCAAGGCAGTAAAAGGTGCCACTGTGTTGTGGCAGCTGTGTGACTAGCGGGGTAAGTAAGTAGAGCCCAATACGCTGACCACTACCATCTCGGCTTTTGCAATTTGCAACTAGGATTTCCGCGGTCCTTCACACCGTAAATATAGTGGGGTCCTTTTTCACCGTGGAAATAATGGACCTAAACAACAAGGTCGGTACCCATTGTATACAGTCGCGCAAAAAAAACGACGCTTGCCGCAGATGTCACCACATAGACGCAACACTCGGTCCTCTGCGGATGAACACGTGAGAAAAAAATTGGGAAAAAATAAATGCATTGCAAATGGCATGGCAAACACGGTACATGATTGTGTCTTAAGTTATCACAAAACTGTCTGGTTGATGGCCACCAGCAAATTGATTCATGTTTGGCTGTCGTCACCAATATCGCCATCGCTCTCGTCCTCTTCCTCCTCCCCACCATCAACATCATCGTCAACATCATCATCATCATCATCATCATCATCATCCTCATCCTCGTTCTACAAGGACTTACATTTGTTTCACTGCAAGCACACAACTGAAGTGACACGAATAGCTGTTTTTTTTCTGGTGCTGGAATTTGTGAAGTAGCTGTTCAAATGGATTTCCATCTGATGGACAAGAACACCCATGGTAATTCATGGACATGGACGATGAAATGAATGCTCCATATTTAAAGCAACAGAATGGCAAACTGAATATGTTAGTGGAGCATGGGTCCCAACATGCCAGGTGGAAGGACTTGAAACAATCAAGATATATATTGAAGCCTTCCAGTTCAACGGACGATCGTGACCATTCGGTCAGGAGACGAGGAAGTGTGCTGCTTGGAAACAAGTATCCAAAAAAAATAGTAAAGCATAAAATTGGTGAGGGGGGGAGGGCAAAAAATTAAAGCCACACATGTAAGTCCTTGATCCAAAATGGTTATGATACAAAGATAGATCCTCGTAAAACAGACTGAACAAGTACAGTAACCGTTCTACAAGGACTTACATTTGTTTCACTGCAAGCACACAACTGAAGCGACACGCATAGCTGCTTCTTTTTCTGGTGCTGGAATTTGCGAAGTAGCTGTTCACATGGATTTCCATCTGATGGACAAGAACACCCAATAAAACTATCAGATTGAAATCCTAATCGCCAATAATCCCCCTTTAAGAGCAATAGGATTTCCAGCCAGAAAAAGAAATTCAGTCACGTAGGGAGTGACCACAAAAAGTATGCATCATTTGGATGCAGACTACAAGTAAGGTCTGGATTCCATAGGTGTGGAAGAATGAAACGAACGCGGTCATCAGGGTTAAATTCAAAAGGGATGTCAGAAACTTCATCCCATCTACTTAATTGGTCAGCGATTTCGTTGTCTTGACCCGGAATATGGCTGACATCATGTTCTGTGCCTGTCATTGTTGCAATGAATGTCAGTTTTCCACAAAGAAACATAAAGATGATGTGGTAAACAGTTTGTTGCTAACTGATTCGGCGCCGGAGTTGTCACTTAGTGACTTCAGGCAAATTGGCATGCGAGACCCTGGATAAAATTTTGAAATCAAGTGCACTAAGGCGATCTGAGCTAAGGTTTCAAACGAAGCGATGCCCTTTTGCATCTCAGGTTCCAAATGGAGCGAAACTGCTGTAAAGTCGGAATGATAAAACTGTTCAGAGAACCAAAGACATTTACCAGATTCATGTTGAATGAAACCACCAATCCGACATGTATTGCCTGAAGCACAAGCATCAGCTGCTGCATGACCCGACCAATATCTCTTTGGGGTCATAGAACGGATCGGTTGTAAAACTGAGATCCAATTCAAAAATAGACGCGAACAGCGATGAGAATCAGGTTTCAAAGACCGGCGAGAAGAATTGGGATCTCGAATGCGTAGCCAAATACGTTTCTCTGGAGATGGTCGAAAGTTGTCAGGTCTTCCTTGGATTGAAACTCCTTGTGCCTTGCAGAAAGTAGTTTGCCACCAATTGGGATAGCAGTTCTTGGCCGACGTGTGCAAATCAGATGATAGATGATGATGAAGTTGACTCCAGTCTCCCCGATCTACACTGAAATGCGTGGCAGGAATGCTATATAGATCAGTGTACAAATAATGAACCCAAATTCGAAGTAGTGGAAAAAGTTGTGTAATCCACATCAACAAGCCAATGATCTTTTCGAGTTGTTTGCGTTTGCATTTGTCTGAACGCAAAAAGGTCTTGTAAGTAACCCTGCAATTTCTGAATCTTGGAAGTCGGAATTTGCACTGTGCCAGAGCGGAAATTGAACTGCCAACCAATCCAGTTTACAATTGATCCCAACTCGCATTTCTTCCAGCTGACTGGAATACCTGTAAGCTGACAGAAAATGCAACAAAGGGCCGCTGCCAGTGGCATCATACCAGAACGCATGAAAAAAAGAAAATCAACTACATATAAAAAGCCGCAATGTGCCCGCCAAATAAGATGATGGAAGCAACGGAGGAAGAAACCACCCAGTCGAGACCACCATGCTGCTGAAATGTTGCCCCAAACGGTGTGACGTTGTAAAAATAAATATCCCCATTGAGGCTAAATCCAACCAGGCCCCGTTCAGTGGGATGAAGAACAATTCTCTTGTGGGCAGATTTGATGTCCAAAGAAAAACCGGACAGCGCTTCTGATGTACCCCGCAATGGATATGATCTCAGAACTTCCTTAGCTGTAGGCAGTGTACTGCGTTCAGGAATGAAACATCTAGCATTAAGGCCGCAAATGTCAACTGTCATGGCTGGGCAGCTCACTAGGGGGATGCTCATCAACGAAGCCAAACATTACATAAAATATCCAAAAAAATAGAAAACATCAGAAAACATCAAAAAGCATTAGAAAACATTATTTCACATAAAAACAAATTATAACACATTAAAACACATCAAAACCAATTTACAGGGATTTTGCAACATCATGCTCAAACTAGCAACACCACATCCACATCCCACATCTGCAGTGCCCACTCTTCTTTTTTTCCCTTTAGGTTCTGCTGTACTTGGTCTTGGGTGGAAGGTCTGAGATTGAGTCTGCAAGAGCCACCAAAATTTGGTCTGCAATGACCCCTGGCTGCTGGACCTTTTCTGTTACACTGTTTCCACATCAACTGCATGTTACTCATCCAAGTTTCTTTTTCCTTCTCTTCTCATGGCTACCACCCATGGCTTCAAAGATGGACCCCAGTGTCACAGGCGAGGTGGAGCCACAATGACTAGCAGGGCTGACAATCTATGTTTCATTATGTTTAGCCCAGGTATCAGATGCTGATCAAATCATGAAATTAAATCTAATGAATGATAATGTTTTAATTTTTTTAATAATGTTTTAAAATTTGTTTAATGTAGCACCAACTTGATGGGGGCCCCTCCAATGACCTCCCTTGTTCTCACAGAAGAAAATGCTAGAGTCCACAACCAAACGCGGTGGGCGTGAGTCAGACAATGCAATGCCCAATTTACCCACTGAGACTCCCAGTGGGTATTCTGCCTGTGCTTCAGCTAAGGTGCCTGGATATTTGAAACCCAACCCTTTTCCAATTCTTCATTGACCAACGATTGTGTCAATTCCAAGTCGGATTCTGCACTTTGCCAATTTTGCATATGTATGGACAATGGGTTATCAACCAGGTTCTCTGAAGCTTGTGTAGGAAAAATGCCCGATAAAGGGATATCCCTTTGGAAACCAGTTTTAACTCCAGCTTGAAGTGAAGGAAAAAGTGAGGTGTCGCGGTCGCCCATTGTCTTGCTGATTGAATCCAGAATATTCAAATGCATAGGTTGATGTTCTCTCATTGTCCAATCAGGGGTTTCATCGTGAGCACGTAAAAATTGTTCAAGGTCATGTCGGAATGGCTGCAAAACTTCATCAGAAAATGGAGGATTGGGATTGTCGGAACCAATATGTTGAAGTAAAGCCTGGTCCAATGGATTGTGAATAATATGTTGAATCCATGAGTGACGCAGCAATTGAAAAATATCTGGTTGGCTTCGATCTGCTTGGCTCCAGTCTGGGGTGGAAAAAAGACCATCCCCATCCTTCTGAGAAAATGGAAAATCTGCTTTCGTTGTCAATGGAACCAATTGTTGACGGGATGACCAACAAAAATCGTGAGGACCAAACTGCAACAGGGGTTGAATAATGGTAGCAAACTGATCTGCCAATGGTTTCGGGTAGCATGCTGTTTTGCGACTTTCGATTTTTTTCCCCCTCGAGTGTGGCCGATGTCGCGCTAATGGCTCGGTCCTTACATGAGAGTAAGCAGAAGATACACTGTACAAGGACAAAAGTCCTTGGAGTCGGCAAATCGATTGAAGCAACAAAACCGAAAACCACAACCAAACAAAAAACGACGACCCGCAAATCCCCCAGCCAGACTTGCGTTTCGCCAGCGGAAACAGCGAAGCAAACAGCAGAAAACACAACAAAACCCAAAAAACGGGGCCAGAGCCCAAACAAAAACACCCACCGAATCGATGTACCATTGGACGCAGTGGCATATCCACTGCATCACTATCAAAAACATGCAAAATGAATTATGGATCACAGCTGTCCAGGCAGACATGAAGACCATAGCTCGGGAGTTAACCCTAGCATGAGCCAAGCTGTACACGAAAGCAGGGCTACGATGAAATCTCTCTCAGAGTCCTCTCAGATCAACTCGTCATGGGCCTTCATGGACATAATAGTCATCCTCTTGACTGTCAGCCGCGATCTCGAATCCATGGTGTAATGAAATCAGATCCCCCCTTAAAGGGGGGGCCAGTGATGACAAAGGGGAAGCATTGTAGGCCAGGGATAGGCTTCCAAACATGCCATCGCCGACAAACACAAAAAAGGGGGGGCACGCCCCTAGT